CGAGTTTTGTGACAGGATAAGTTATGGGCGCGCGAACTATTCAGTTTAAGACAAATGTTATACGCATTAGACGATCATGCAAGGGATTTAAAAAGTCCACAAGCTTAGATTAAGAAAATTAATCTAAATATATTAAAAATTTATTTACTTTTTTATTGCAAGCATTAAAAAAAAACTTAAAAAAAACATACGAATTACCTGCAATAAATCCCGCCAGTGTATTCCGATGACGCGGGTGGAGTTGCCATTCCATTATCATCCAATAAAAAAAAAAACCTGCAATAAATAGGTTCAAAAGACGATGCTACGGCTAAGGAAATTTTTTCCAGATAACCTTTGCATAGAGTAGAAAATAAAGATGGCGGTAGCTATTTGGCGGGAGATTTTACGCAACAAAAAAAACTGTCAAGTTATGTGAAAAAAGTGAGCGCTGTTAAGCTTCGAAGAATTATAAAATAAAAATGTCAAGTTCAATTAAATCAAAGGTTAATTTATTGACACTGAAGGAGGTGATGACCAGGTCTTAATTATAAATCATTTTTGAGATACTCAGCGTGCGTACACTTACCCGCTGCGTACACTTGCCCAACGTGACTCTATTGGGGGTAAGGGATTGTTAGTAATGGAGACTGAGAATCCCATTGCTAGCAATATACCCAACCAGGTCGACCTGCTCGCGGTTCACCCTGGAAACTATCATGGTTAATTCCTGATGAATTCATCATGACGGGCTAACTGGCCTGTTTTCATTCTCATCTATCACCCTTCACTGGTGCTCCGCCAGCGTATCCCGTTAGCGCAGGCGGGGTTACCATAACATTTTCGTCCATCAAAAAAAAAAGTGACTCTATTGAGTTTTTTTAAAGTCTACAAGTCAATCCAATCGTAATCAAAATAGTTTGTCATAAATTTTTTTCATATACATGTTTTTTTTTGATGGGTGAAAACAAAGAAATACAAGATTGTTTTCTATGGTTGTGGAGAACTGTCATCCGCAACAGACTACAACGGGGGGGAAAGGGATTGTTAGCAATGGAGTTTGACAGCCCCATTGCTAGCAATATGCCCTATCAGGTCAACCTCCACGTGGTCCCTCCTGGAAACCATCGTGAACAATTCTCGTTGAATTCGTCACGATGGGCTAACTGGCCTGCTTCATCCTCATCTATCATCCTTCACTGGTGCCCCGCCGGTGTATACCGATAGCGCGGGTGGGGTTACCATTCCATTATCACTTATAAAAAAAAAACAGACTACAACGTATAGACTGTCGACTTTATCCTCTAACCTTATATTATATAGATACAGTGTCTCCATACAAATGCTTCGCGAAAAGTGGGCCAACTTTTCCATACAATTTTGCGTGATAAATAGTTACTAGTGATTCCTTTATAACTTCTATATTTATTTTGTCTTATAATTCCTACATCTTTTTAATGCGTTAACACTCATTTTATTTATTAAACAATTAAATATAGATACGTCAAGATACATTGTGTGCGTAAGTATATAGAACACTGATACAAAAACGATTCGGATAATTGGACAATTGGCTGACAAAAGGTTGACCCCCTTTTGAGGCTCGATGCTCTATCTATATAATGTAAGCCTCTGCCGCATATCGCAGAGTATTGCATAAAACTAACATAAATCAGCGTATTAAAACAATGTCAATGAAGGCCTCATGAAATGTCTTTTACAAAAAAACAAGAAAAATATCTTGAGGGAAAATCAATCCCCTACAGGCTACGAGATAAAAGGCAAATATGCATAATTTCAGAGGCAATAACAGTAAATTCGGGTCGAGATGTTCTCTGATTGTGTTTCAAACGAAAATAGTACCACCCTAACACCTTGCCACCCGGGGTTGAATCAATAAAAGAGTTGTGCTATCGAAGCGCGCTATCTAACGGCGGGTAGGTGTACTAACTGGCGCTCAACTTGGAAACGAACCTTTTCGTTTGCTTTTTATGGTGCAGAGATGGCGCTGTACTAATTGAGCAACAGTTTTTTAAAGAAAAATAATTTTGGATAAATTGTTTGTAGATTTTAGTGTTACACTGGGCTTAATGCTTGTTTATCACCCTTTGCCATCATTGTCATCATCATTAGACCAGCTGTTAACAGTCCACTGTTGAACATAGGCCTCCTTCATCTAAGCCTACCCCATAGATTGCCACAAGGAATGGCCCTGAGCTACCAGCAATATATTTGAGGTCGCGCTCCATCTAAAGGGCGGTCGTCCTACAAAACGTTTGCTTATACGGGATCAACACTCAAGAACCTTTCGTGTCGAGCCCATTTCTACTTCAGCTTGCTATCATTTGTAATATAAAAGAAAGTTCTTGGTCAGTCGATTTTTATCATATTTTTTTCTAATAGAAAGAATTTAATAATAATAGTGTATCCATTTATTTATAATTATACTGCATATATGATAATTTATCAAAATTAAAATGTTTACGAAAGTAGAATTAACTCAATAGGTTTCCCGCCAAAAATAATAAACCATTGTTTTCTTTATAAGGACAAAGGCAAAGGAGCAATACCTATACAGCCGTGTCAGACGATGTATATGTTTTAAAATAAAATATTTATCTAATTTATTTTGTTATTTACAATACTGATGGATCGCACTTTATTAATTTAGCTACGTAACATCGCAGTATTCGATGGCAAACAATATTAAACGAAGAACATTTCTCAGTGGAATTCAGTGGAGCGTATTCAATTGAATTTTCAATAACATTGTTCATTCATAATAATCTATATAGATTTATATCTTAGACTAGCTTTTACTCGTGACTTCGCCCCGGATATATATTTATTAACCGGAATAAAAGACGCCTATATCATTTTCCATCTCATATAGTATAGATACCAAATTTCACGATAATTTGTTATGCCATTAAAGCCCTAAAAAATAACAAACTTACATTCACATTTATAATATTAGATCCAAATTTAAATTTTAACTTAACATACAATTAATAAGTAATACCATAAAAAAAATTCAAGATGATATTTTATACGGAAACATCAGTGTAAATGTGGCAACACTGTCACCTGTACTACAAAGATTTCGGAATCCACCCTTCCTCCAATTGTCAAATGTTCTACATTATGCTCTGTAGATTCTTCTCTAATTTTGCGTATAATCTATGCTTAGATTATAATCTACGTACATACAATAATATTGTTACTGAATGACATTTATACATTGGAGACATTTAAGAAAAAAAAATATGAATCTTAGATAAAGCAGTACACTAGTCAAAACAGTATTTTTTAATAATTTTCTCCGTCTATCATCATGTTTATTTCGGCATTAGATAGATAGATAGATAGATAGTTTATTTGCATTACTTACAGCACACAAATTAGAACATATATATACAAAAAAAACGAGATAACATAAATGATAAATAAAAAAAAAAAACATTACGTAAAAGTTATTGAACCAAATTAAATGCGAGTTTCACAGTTCCCGGCGATCTAACTTAAAATCTGGTGTGTGTTTTTATCTTGTTACGCCATCTAGAAGTGGCCTTCATTGATTTTCCTACTTTTAAAATCCAAGCGTACAGAGTAGCGGGCAAAGATCTATTTTTTTTTTTATTAATAAAATTGTTCTTAAATTGTTTCAGGTAAATGTGTGAACTGTACGCTATCACGCACCCTATCGCAAATCTCAAAAATTATTAATGCAAGTCAAGTAAGTTTGTAATATCTTATATATAAAATTCTCGTGTCACGGTGTTTGTTATCAAACTCCTCCGAAACGGCTTTACCGATTTCATGAAATTTTGTGTGCATATCGGATAGGTCTGAGAATCGGCCAACATCTATTTTTCATACCCCTCAATGATAAGGGTGACCCTCGCCAAAAAAATTTTTTTTTTATTTTTTTAACAAATTTTTCAATTTTTATTTTATTATGATTTAGCATTGAAAAATACACACAACTTTAAATTTTCGTCGTTTTACAATCAACCCCTGTCTTTTAATCGCGATATTTATATTTCGCAATAAGTGGTAAAACAACGTTTACGGGGTCAGCTAGTATTTCTATAAATATGTATAGATGTGATACACTTTGCCCCGAAAATTGAGAACACGATTGCCATGCGTAAAAATTAATTATTAAAAAAATATATATAACCAATGTAATTGGAGATGATATGAGGATTCGGACTAAGCCCATACATCCACTGTGTCCACGCATTTAATAGTTTTGTTGTAATACACGAATTGCGTGTGTATTACAACAAAACTTTTACGTGTGTGCGTGTCGTTAAAGGCGACTAAGGCAGAACGAGGAATGGACAGCAGCGTCCCTTTTAAAACATCTCCAAAGCCTAACTGCGAGTGCCTATCCGCCTGCCAAGCCTGGCAACTACTAGCAAAACCCCCCAAGGGGAGGCTTATGTTCAGCAGTGGACAGTTAAAGTGCACTATTATACCTACTTGTACAACAATTAGTCCATTACCTTAAGGTTGTCTTGTAAAGATCGCTCTCAGCAATACGACCGCCTCACTGTACTTATACAATTGTATCGTTGTGTTTGTAAATTGTCTTGCTTATTTCCTATATTGTATAATGCAAATAAAATATACTCATTGATTCATTCATTAAAGGCTGATATGGTGAAGCATAGATTAAATAAATAAATAGTATTTCCATATAAACGCTTCGCCAAAACAGGTCAACTTTTTTAATCGTGTGTGCGTGAATAGGGTTACCATAACGTACATTTATTACTCAGTATATGGTAGAAATTATACTGTAAGATTAAATTAAAAAATAAAAACATATTTAAAACAACAAAATATATAGTGCATAACCATTCATAATGATGCTTTACATCATTGAATAATTGTTGTTAACGTAATTTACTTATAATGTCAACAATAGAAACAAACACTGGTTAACTTCATGCCATTCTATTACTATTGTCTCGTCGTAGGTTTAAAAGCAACAATGTTATGAAATTGAAGTTAGTTGAAAATATATCCATTTCAGTAAAGACGTGTGTTTTCTTGCACCTTAAATTGATATTGAAAAGTGAACCTTAACACCTTAACATATGGCCGTAATCGAGCCGGATTATTAGTTTATTACCGCTTCATCGACCCGTTTCGCGAGAACAATAGAACCGCATCGAACAAAAATAGTACATCGCCGAGTGGTATTCTTATAAAGATTTACAAATTTAATGATCTTTATTCACTAAGCAATTAGTACTAAGATTGCTTAAATTAGTAATTGGAAGATTATTGAAAAAATATGGCTACGTCTTTGGAACAAATTATCAGTGTACTTGAAGATACAGGAAATCTATTTAAAAAATCGCAAATAAATCTTAAAAAATGCCCGAAATCACGATTAACAAAAGGATACATCGAGTCGCGGTTAAAGTGCATAGAAGATTATTGGAAAACTTTCAAAAAATCACATGAAGAATTATTACGCATTACGACTAAAGAACAACGCGGCATACTACCATACTTCGTGAATGAAGAATACTATGTACATGAAGATATTTATTTGTGCTTGGAAGCGGACCTTAAGGATATGTTATCTGCTTTACCAGTGTCACGATTAGCTGAAAAAAGTGTGCAGGGTACCCTGGATGTGCAAGTGAAGCTACCCAAAATCCAAATTCCCTTGTTCACAGGATGTTACGAATCGTGGCCCGCCTACCAGGATTTATTTATTTCTTTAGTACATAACAATACATCGCTTAGTAGTGTACAAAAATTACATTATTTGAAAACAAGTATTGGTGGTGAAGCAGAGAATTTATTAAAACATATACAAGTGACGGAAAATAACTACCTACAAGCTTGGAATACACTGAAAGAAAGGTATGGTAACAAACGACTAATAGTTAACTCTCTTTTAAAACGACTATTTGCACAAAAGAAAATTATGAATCAGTCAGCTAATTCAATTAAAGCATTGTTGGATACAACGTCTGAATGCATAAATAACTTACAGAATTTGAATATTTCCACCGATTCTTGGGATCCCATAATCATATTTCTGGTCGTGCAGAAGTTGGACCCAGAGTCACATAAACAATGGGAGGCGTATTCTTATAAAGAAAATTCAGATGAACTACCCTCATGGACTGACTTGAAGAAATTCTTAGAATCTCAATTCCGTACATTAGAATTAGTTACACCATTATCATGCACTAGAGAGCGAACTATTAGAGAAAGATCATACCACGTGACAACTCCAAATAAAACTTGTAACATGTGCAAGAATAACCACGCCTTATGTCATTGCAAGGAGTTTACAAAATTGTCCCCCCTGGAACGTAAGGAATTTGCCAAGAACAATAATCTTTGTTACAACTGTCTAGTACCAGGACACTCGGTGTTGAAATGCCGTACACCAGTTTCCTGTCATGTATGTCACAAGCGCCACCATTCTCTTCTACATTTACAGAAGAAACCGGACACGTCGGGTCAAATAGGTACCATACAACCGAGTGTGTCACCATCCCCATGCAATGTAGAAGAGCAAGAGGAGATAAGAGTCAATACAATGGTAGCGTCTAATTGCAATACTAGGCAGAAGATAGCACTATTAGCGACCGCAATGGTGATAGTAAGAAGTGAACGCGATCACACCACTGTCTTAAGGGCGCTAATAGATCCAGGGTCGGAATCATCGTTTATAAGTGAAAAAACAACTCAGTTACTTCAACTCACTAGAACAACAGCAAAAAGAAGTATTATCGGAATGGGATCTATGAAAACGAATGTAAACCAAGTAGTTCAGTTCAAAGTAGTTTCAAGATACAAGTCGGATTATAGCATACAAGTAGAAGCATACGTCGTGTCTCAACAACTGACTGCTAAGATACCCAAAAAATCACTTGCTGTTCATAATTGGCCACACCTAGAAGGATTACACCTAGCTGATCCAAGTTATTGTACTCCAGGCTCCATAGATCTTCTTCTTGGTGTCAAAGAATATGCTAAAATATTACAATCTGATTTAATCAAAGGTCCACCTGGCTCACCATGTGCATTAAAAACAGGTCTTGGTTGGATTTTATTTGGTGAGGTACATTCTGGTGAAAATTGTACTCAAGAATCAAACTTTATTTTTACACATCATGCAGTAGATGTAGACGAAATGCTGAAAGTCATATGGGAGGTAGATATGGATACTAAAAGAAAATTTACTAAAGAAGAGAGGCTGTGTGAAGACATCTACGAAAAAACATATAAAAGAAATGATAAAGGACGATACATAGTGAAGCTACCATTTAAGACAGAGAATCCAGTTTCACCGGACGGAAATACAAGAGAAATAGCATTGAATAGGTTTTTACAATTAGAGAAAAGATTCAACAAACAACCACAATTAAAAGAAAAATACACACAAGTGATAGAAGAATACAAAAATATGAAACATATAGAAGAAGTACCAGAAGAAGAAATACATTCAAAAAGATCAATTTACATACCACACCTTGCAGTCATTCGTGAAGGAAAGGAGACTACTAGCACGCGTGTCGTTTTTGATGCTTCATGCAAAGGTTCAAACGGCATCTCACTGAACGACGAGCTCTTATTAGGACCAGTACTACAGGGTGATCTTAGAAGTCTGTTGATGAGATGGCGAATGCATGCTGTTTGTTTCGTATCTGATATTGAAAAAATGTACCGAATGATTTTGATAGCAAAAGAAGACAAAGACTTTCAAAGAGTTTTATGGAGAGATAATCCTGATGAACCTATAAAAGACTACCGTTTGCTCACAGTAACATTTGGGACGGCGTCAGCTCCTTATCTTGCTATCAAAACTCTCGTACAGCTATCTATTGACGAAGGTGAAAACTATCCAATTGCTACCAGGATAATTCAAGAGGATTTCTACGTGGATGATGTTCTATCGGGTTGTGATAATGTTGAAAATGCTATCGCAGCTGCCAAGGAGTTAAAATATTTATTACAACAAGGTGGTTTTCAACTAAAGAAATGGTCATCTAATAATGCAGAATTCATGAGATCTATCAAACCAAGCGAAAGATCCTCTAATGTACACTTAGATCTCAATATCGATGGTACTACAAAGGCATTAGGAATCGCATGGAACTTGAGAACTGATAAATTTGAATACAATTCGAGTACACATAGCGAGTCAATGAATATCACCAAACGTAGTATTCTGTCAGATATTCAGAAACTCTATGATCCTTTAGGATGGATAGCACCATTGTTGGTAATGACAAAGATATTTATACAACGACTTTGGATGGAAAAGTACAGTTGGGATGAATAGATAAGTCAATCACTAATAGACGAATGGAGGACAATAAAACGTGATTTTAAGAACGTAAATGGCATACGTATAGACAGATGGTTACATACATTCAACAAAGAGAAAGAATCTATTGAAATACATGGTTTCAGTGACGCTTCAATGCAAGCTTATGCAGCCGTGGTATATTGTCGTGTTGTAAATTCTGATGGAACCATAACAACCACACTTGTTGCTGCACAAACTAGAGTAGCCCCATTGAAAACAATATCACTACCACGTTTAGAGCTTTGTGGTGCTGTCTTACTTTCAAGATTGCTCAAACAAGTAACACAAGCAATGAAATTATCTATGTCCCAAGTGTTTACGTGGACTGATTCCACTATTGTCATATCTTGGCTACTTGGAGAACCCAGTAAATGGAAACCCTTCGTTGCTAATAGGGTGGTAGAAATAATAGATAATACCAACAACAGACAATGGTACTATGTGAAGTCACAAGACAACCCTGCTGACATAGCGTCCAGAGGTATGTATCTTAAAGATTTGCAAAATTCGAACTTGTGGTGGAAGGGACCGAAATGGTTGTCTGAACATAAGATAGATTTTCATAAGCCAAGTTGTACACAAACAGATGAGGAAATGAAAAAGGTTATACACGTAAACTTAAATATAAATAATAAGGAAGAAGAAAAAGAAAATCATATATATACACAATTTGAAAATTATAATACATTAACAGAATTGTTAAAAGTAATAACATTTTGTAAAAGATTTCTAAAGTTTAGATTGTTGGCAGAAAATATAAACAATACTATTACAACACAAGAATTAGAGGATTCATTACGTATATGTATACAAATAAGTCAAAAAATAGATTTTGAAGATGAAATAGAAGCATTAGAAAAGAAGAAATCAGTAAAAAGAACCAGCAATCTAAAATCGTTAAATCCATACTTAGATGAACAACGTATTCTCAGGGTGGGCGGAAGGCTCAGACACGCTAATATCGATGAAGAGAGTAAACATCCAATCATATTAAATCATAAAAACAGATTTACATATTTAATTGTCGCTGATGCCCATCGTAGAACTTTACATGGAGGTATACAAGTTATGTTGACGTATTTAACTTCTAAGTACTGGATAGTAAGAGGGAAGGGTATGATTAAGGGATACATAAATAAATGTTTGATCTGTGCGAGACATAAAGTTGCTGTTAGAACCCAGATCATGGGAGATTTACCTAAAGCACGTGTGACACCCTCTCGACCATTCTTGCAGAGCGGAGTTGATTTTACTGGTCCATTTCAAATTTTGATATCGAAGGGCAGAGGTATGAAAACAAATAAAGCTTATATTGCTATATTTGTATGTATGGCTACTAAAGCCATTCATCTGGAATTGGTTGGAGATATGACGTCAGAGGCATTCATTGGTGCATTTAAACGGTTTACTGCCAGAAGAGGAAAGTGCTCCCATTTATGGAGTGATCAAGGGAGAAACTTTATAGGAGCAAATAAGGAGTTAGTAACTGCCTGGAAGGATGCTTGTTTAGAATTTAAAGGGGAAATTGCTGAATCTTTGGCGTGCGATGGTACTCAATGGCATTTCATCCCTGCTTATAGCCCAAATTTCGGAGGTTTATGGGAAGCGGGCGTGAAATCAATTAAGTACCATTTAAAAAGAATATTAACCAATCACTTGACTTTTGAGGAAATGACCACCATTCTTTGTGAAATAGAGGCGTGCCTAAATTCTAGACCGCTCTGTCCGATTGATGACTCAGGTGACATAATTCAACCCTTAACACCGGGACATTTCCTGATAGGCGAAGCACCTATTGTCATTCCCAATCCAGATTTACAGCATGTTAAAGTTAGTAACATATCCCGCTGGCAACATACACAAAAATTACTAAGAGATTTTTGGAATCGGTGGCAGAAAGAATATTTGTCTAGACTTCAACAAAGACCAAAGTGGCTTAAAAAAGAAAAGGAATTTGCTATCGGACAAATAGTTCTTATTAAAAATGACCTACTACCGCCTGGTAAATGGGCTCTAGGACGAGTGCTCGAAAAACACCCTGGAGATGATGGAATTACTAGAGTTTACAGTGTGAAAAGTGGTAACAGTGTTGTAAAAAGATCTATTAGCAAACTGTGTTATTTACCTGTGGACATTGAAACTGATTCTAAATAATGAACTTGTATGTAGTTGTTAATATTTTATAAATTAATTTATATACTACAATATTTTGTTACCTTTTATATTTGTTATATATATATATGCATGAGATATATTGTTATTTGTTTAAATTCTCGTTTAAAAAGACTTACAGTCATTTTGGTGGGCGGCATGTTAACGTAATTTACTTATAATGTCAACAATAGAAACAAACACTGGTTAACTTCATGCCATTCTATTACTATTGTCTCGTCGTAGGTTTAAAAGCAACAATGTTATGAAATTGAAGTTAGTTGAAAATATATCCATTTCAGTAAAGACGTGTGTTTTCTTGCACCTTAAATTGATATTGAAAAGTGAACCTTAACACCTTAACAATTGTATAAAACTACACAAACACACATACAGGTTTTCAGAAGCAACATGTACATATGGGGGGAAAGGGATTGTTAGTAATGGAGACTGAGAATCTCATTGCTAGCAATATACTCAACCAGGTCGACCTCCTCGCAGTTCTCCCTGGGAACTATCATGGTTAATTCCTGATGAATTCATCACGATGGGCTAACTGGCCTGTTTTCATTCTCATCTATCACCCTTCACTGGTGCTCCGCCAGCGTATCCCGTTAGCGCAGGCGGGGTTACCATACCATTGTCACCCATCAAAAAAATAACATGTACATATGTATCTTTATATTATATACGCTTTTTTTTTGTAATAATGGAACCGTAACCTGACATACGCTGACAGTATACGCTGGCGGAGCACCAGTGAGGGGTGATTAGGTAAAGATAAACAAGCAGGTCAGTTAGCCCATCGTGATAAATACACCTGGACTTCAGCACGATGGTTCCCAGGGGGGACCACGTGGAGGTAGATCTGACAGGATATATTGCTAGCAATGGAACTGGTAGCCCGTATTACTAGCAAACCCTTCTAACCCCCCCCCCCCCCCAGAAAAAGTATTGTATTGTATTGTAAAAATCTTTATTGTACATAAGTCAGATTAAATACTAGTAAATGATTTAGTATACAAGTAGTTAAAAGTAGTTACAAATTTAAATTAAAAAAATCGATCTAAACTAGCAAATTTTTAAAGCAATTACTTGCAATACTGAAATAAAAAGGTCATTTTGTTTGTATTTAAAAATTATATTAATGCTCAAAGTATATAATCTAGGTGTAATGTTACATTTACTCCAAAAATCCGTACATACATAATATCCGCATTAAAAGAAAACATTACCCATCTTTCTAGGACAATAAAAAAGATATCTCACGGACTTCACCGCCATTAGAACTCTATCCATTACGACGTAAAGACCGCCCTCTACGTCCAAAACTTGTTTAATGGCGGCGGTTGTTCACCGTTTCCCGCGCAATCTCACAGAAATCGCAACGAATCGCGCGCGAGTAATGATTGAAATGTAATTTTCGTTAATGCGAACGGTCATTTGGGAAGCATTTTATTTTATTTCAGTTACATTTCAATGATAACAAACAATAATAATGGCTGCGTGAATGAATTTTAATTTTAAGCAATTGTAATAAGTAACAATTAATTCGGATGCCTTATTTTTATTTGTTGAATTGTTACGCAATAACTTATATTCAAGTTCGGATTTTTATAAGTCAATATACATGTAATAATAATAATTAATCTGAAGATTTCTTTAATGGTATGAAAATGGAATGGTAACCCCGTCTACGCTTTCAGTATACTCTAGTGTGCCACCAGTAAGAGATGATAGATGAGGATGAAAGGTAGTTAGCTGGCCTCTACGTTATACTAAGTCTATGGCTGATCAATTGTGCTAAGAACAAGGAATTACATAGAACACAAAAAAAGAAAAAAAAAAAAAAAAAAAAAAATTACATAGAAAGAGTGACATAATTGACAATTCACAGCAGGCTAGTGTATAGACAATGTTATACGGCCGTATAACCCTACCAAATTCAGATACAACCCGCTTACATACTGTCTACATAAACTGTGTCCAATATAGAATCTAGTAATGTAACATTTGTCATTGACTAATAATTGACATATCAAACATTTTCTATACACTAGCCTGCTATGAATTGAGAAAAATAGCAACTGATGGTGTATCTTTCGTCTTCTTTTTACTAATTATATTTGCATATGAAGAAAGGAGGCAACCATATGATTCACAGTTTTTATTTTATTATTCCTTCTATGTAATTACTTGTTCTTAACTATTGTGAAGAAACTATTATGACAGTTAGGTCAGTCAGTCAAATCAACAGTGATATATATATATATATATATATATATATATATCGATTTCTTTGTACCATTTTAGTACGGAACCCTAAAAACAGATTATGATTATCTATGTCTATACTATTTTGTTTCGATACAAATATACATTTTTAATGATATAAGTTTTTTTTTTTAATTAGAGGACATTTTCTTAGCAACATTTCCTCTTTATAATCATAGACAAGGTATAACGTGGTTATATTTTTCTATTTCCGTTTCCGCGTTGAGATAGTCTATTGTAAGGCACAATGAAAAAGTGAAGCATGTAATTATTTGTCTTTAATTATAGCTGTTAATTAAGATGCGGACGAAAGTGAGGCCATGAAGTGCGTTACGAATTTATATATTTTTAACGTTATTCATGGTAAAAAATTGTCTTTTGCAATAATCATTGTTAGAAAAAAAAGTTCTCAACTGATTTAAAAAAATAGGAGATTGTCTTTTTTATGTTTGTTACCTCATAACTCGGTCAATTGTAGACCGATTTGGCAAATTCTTTTTTTTATTTAAAAGTATATATTTCTAGATCGCTTCCATTGAAATTTTATCGAAAT